GTGCATGCCGTGGTCGTTAGACCATTGACCTCGCATCCCTACAAAGCCGGGACGGAGCACGCCGGGTTCTCACCGGACCAGGCTCTCACGTCACCAAGCGCGAAGCGCCGTGAGGTATTCGGCGAGTCGCATGAAGGGTGCGCTGCATCCTGCTAAGGGTGTTCGGTATCTTGTGCTTACTTCCTTGCGTACGGATGACAGCTGCGTATGACTTAATCTACTTTCTGGCGCTGCTTTCGCAGCGTTGGGGGGGGGGGAATTGGCTAAAAGAAATTCAATCCGGCACGTATCGCGCCACTCGGTCCGTCTCTTCTCGTTTGCTTTTTTCCCTCGCCGTCTCGTCCGTCTCCTGCCCCCCTCCCGCCCCATTGGTTGGTGGCTTGTGGTTTCGTTTGAGCGCCCGTTGTCGGCTGGCCTCTTCTTCCTTCTCGTAGGTGACACGACGAAGATGAAACGGTACATACGTTGTCGGAAAGCTCTCGCCGAGGCGGCTTCAATACCACCTCCTTTTCGGCGCTGCCACCCTTACTCTTTCTGCTTTGGAGAAAAATTGAGTTTAGATAATCGATCCAAGGAGTGCGGTATCTTGTGTCATATACAGTATGCTTGGCGCCCGCCTCTACCTTTCGGTGTATGAGGCACCAACCATGACGTTACTTCAATGTCATACACAGACACGCGAATGGCGTACCTGAACTTGAAGAAGGAACCGATAATCCACATGTGCTGCGCGTCATTCATGGTCTTCCACATACTGATCTGCTTCTTCTCGTACTCCTGGCGACAACCGAGAAAAAAAAAAAAAGCGACAAAGAACGTACGTAACCTGAGCAATGCGTGAAGGGCCAACGAGCAATTTTGACGGGCGAGCAACGTTCTGTTTTGCTGTTCTCTTACTGTTCTCCGTTCTTGCTCTGGTTGTTGCCGTTTTCCATTCGCCAGCTTTCGGTGATGAGAGACCAACATTCTTTTCGCAACAAAAAGGTTACACTGGCTTCAACAAAAAAAATAGCGGACGAAAAGCATCCACGCAAAGCACGACACACACCTTGTACGCCCCCTGGCTGGTGAAGGGGATCATGCACAGCCCCTTGGGCTTGAGCACGCGGTACACCTCGCGCATCACGAGGCGGGGGTTGGTGAAGAACTCCATCGAGTTCGGGACCATCACGAAGTCGAACGAATCGGCAGGGAAAGGAAGCTCCGGCTGGTCCGCGCGCCGAGGGGGGGGGGGGGGGGGGGG